TTCTCCGTGACTTGAGACTTCGGCAGGGCATGCGCAGACCTCTGCAGTCATTATTGAAAGGCAGTGGAAAGAAGAGGGGCTTTTGTGGCTTTTGCTAGCCATGACCATGATTCCATGGGTAAGATTGTTACTCAGAAATACCATACTGTGAATGGGCACAACTGTGAAGAAAGGAAAGCCCTGTCAAAGGAAGAGGTGGCTTGAGCTCTAGACAAAAGAATCAAAGTAGTTCTGGTAACTTTGGCAGCTGTAGAAGTGTTTTCAGTGACAGTGACAGTTTTGGTTATGAAAGAGGTTGTGGTGGCTCTGGTATCTTCCATGATGGTGGTGGATATGGTGACAGTGGGAATGGCACAGTGAATTTGATAATGATTGAAACAGTTTTGGTGATAGTGGAAGCTGCAATGATTTTGACAGTTGCAACAGTCAGCCTTCAGAGTTTGGACCAATGAAGGGAGGAAACTTTGGAGACAGAAGCTCTGACCTCTGTGGTGGTGTAGGCCAGCACTTTGCCACACCATGAAACCAAAGAAGCTCTGGTGGTTCCAGCAGCAGCGGTAGTAATGACAATGGCAGGTTTTAGTTACAGCTAGGAAACAAAACTTAGCAAGAGAAGAGAGCCAGAGAAGTGACAGGGAAGCTACAGGTAACAGAATTGTGAACTTGGCCAAGCACAGTGATGACAAGACATGACTGCTACAGAGAAGACGTGTTTTGGCAAGTACTTGTGTATGGGCAAAACAACTTAAGGACTATATCTGTGACTTGTAAAACAAATTATTTAGTTTCTCTTCTGTGGAAAGTGTAAAGCATTTCAACAAAGGGTTTTTTGTTTTGGTTTTTTTTTTGGTACCGGGGATCGAACTTGGGTCCTTGCGCTTGTGCAGTAGATGGTGAAACCACTGAGCTAAATCCCAGGCCCAACAACAAAGGGTTTTAATAAAGACTTTTTGCACCTGTGTGTTGATTGCTAAATATAACAGTTTGACCTGTTGCTGAATAAATGTGCCTTTTTCAAAAAGAAAATAAATACATTAAAAACATATTTTGAGCTATAGAGTTTTTTTATTACTTTGCCTGGTTCTTAAAAACCTTAAATAAGGAGTTGGATAAACCTTGTGTTTCTAAATTTATATAATATAAATGTCAATTTTAAAATAAAATCACCCCATACCTCACTTGCATTCTGCTTGCTTAGTGCAGAAACTTAACTTGTAAAAGGGAAATTTTGAAGTTAAGAACATGATCAAATAAGGTTTTGAATTATATCTAAGCAGTATGACTACCATTAATAGTGTACTAATATGTTAGCCGAAGAATTGTCTTATTAGAAGAACCTGAATATAATTTTGAGTTTATTTTTAATTGATCATTCATAATGCACTTATCTCTTGGAATAGAGAAAATACACTATGAAAAGTAACTCCCTTAATTTAATTAAATCTTTTAAAACTTACTCTGTAAGTTTATAACCATTTTTAAAGAATATCTAAATGTTCTCTCAGTCCTTGAAATGTAGTTAGTGTTTATTATTAGCTTAATAATAACAGTTTTAATGTAAGGTATAACCCAATCATCAGGCAAGAGTCAGCTTTGTAACTGTCTTAATGTGCAGACATGATAGCTAACCACATCATATTCTCAAATAATACACCTCTCTACATGCTTATACATAAACCCATATACATGTAGTAATACAACTTTGCAGAAATTCTCATTTTTTAACCACATCATATTCTCAAATAATACACTTATCTACATGCTTATACATAAACCCATATACATGTAATAATACACCTTTGCAGAAATTCTCATTTTTGCTGCTTCTCCAGCCTGCACAGTTTCATTTTTCTTAAGTAACTTGAGTTTTTGTGATATATTGCTATCTAAACTACTTCTATGTGACAAACTAGTTTGCCATTATGGCTGTACAAAAGTAGAGGATGCATTCATCAAATCAGTAGTTGTTGATTGTTTTTCTTTATAGAATTTGATTGCCCAGGTTCTATAGTCACAGTTTCTATGCAAGCCTATGAAGGGACACGAGATGTCTCTGCCTTTTAAAAACTCTATCATTGATTCTAGTAAACAGACAAGCCACACAGAAGGACCTTTCAGTTTGTTTTGTTGCTGCTGAGTAGACACACTAGATGGTGTTATTTAATAACCCCCAAAGAAGTTTAAACTACCTGGAGGAGCATGCATCATGTGTCCAGTTTAAATTTGTAATGAATTTCGTTTATGCTTAAATATCATGAAAAAAGTAAGCTTACTAGAATTATAAAGGAAAGTACAATGCAAACAAATGCTGATGAGCCAGAAAGGGTTGGCCAACAATTTTATGAGTGATAAAAATGTTACCTCTTAATGAATGTCATATAAAAAACATTTTAATGTAAGTGTGTGACTGATAACTCAGTTTAATGAATAAATATTTTTCTTGAGTACTCAGGCATTTAATGTTGGTCAACATTCCATTAAAAATGTTAATATCTCTTTTTTTTTTCTGTTTTTTTATACTGAAATAATCTATTTCCTTTATCCAGCTTCATAGTCCACTGACAATTCAAAAGTGAGCAAAAAATATACTGTCGTTTTCTATACATTGTGACAGGTGCATAAGATTATAAGTGCTTTCTTCATTGTGAGAATATGCATCCTGCTTTTTTAAAAGGAAGAAAAAGCATTTTTCACTTTGAAGAAACTTTCCTCAATAAATTGGAATAAAAGCTATTAATCCTGCTTTCATTTTTGTTAAAATATAATTGATTATAAGTGGTTACTGTTTACTAAGCCCTCAGGCTAAAGTACATTCTGACAATCTGAACCTATCCTTTAACCCTTACAGGAGTCCTGGAAGATATTACTTGAGATATTTTACTGTTCTTAGTTCAACAGTCCAAGAAAACTGGTTCAGAGAGGTTGTTACTCACCTAGGACAATGTTAGGAAGAATAAGATCCCGAGTTGATTCTTAAGTGTCCATACCCTAGTCTCCTTCCTTAGATGTTTGGTGGTGATTATTTGTGGCACTGGGGATTGAACTCAGGGCCTTTGTGCCAAGCTATATCCTGAGCCCTATTGTATCTTTTTTTTTTTTTTTTAAAGGGGCATTTATGTCTTTTTAATTAGGCAGAAAGGTAATAGCAAAATAAAGGTAACATTCAGTCTGGCTCCAGTATCTTTTTTGTTTTTTTGGGGGGTACTGGGGATCGAACTTGGGTCCTTGCGCTTGCGCAGCAGGCAGCAGAACCACTGAGCTAAATCCCAGGCCCACCCTATTTTATCTTGAGACAAGGTCTCTTTAAGTTAAGTGTCCCAGACTGGGCTCGAACTCACAATTCTCCTGTCTTGGCCTCTTAGAGTACTGATATTAGAGGCATGCACCATTTATATGGTATTGTTTTGGCATCAATATTTCTGCTACTTTTGAGAAGTTATTAAGTAAACTAACCCAATACTCATAAATGATAAAATAAATGCCATTATTCATTTACTGCTAAAGAAAATAAATTTTGCTTGAAACAGATTTTCTACTGAGCTCTAACACTTGACAAAATTGTCAAAAGATGGAATTAGATGATCCCCGCTACCAAAAAAAAAAAAAGATAGAATTAGAGCTTTTATCTCATCAAAAGTAGAAATGAGATCAGTCTTTTGTTTTGACTGGGGATTGAACCCAGGGCCTTGCACGTGCTAGACAAATGCTCTACCAGTGAGCTGCATTCCTAGCTCTTTCTTTTTTTTTGCGGGGGGGGGGTACCAGAAATCAAACTTGGAACCTTACACTTGGAAGGCAGGCGGTGCCTAGCCCTCCCTTTTTAATTTTGTTTTGAGACAGAGGCTCACTAAGTTGCCCAGGCTGTCCTTAAACTTGATACCCTCCTGCTTTAGCCAGTCAAGTGGCTGGATTTCAGGTGCGTGCTTACCAATTTAAAAATTTTTAACAAAGAGAACCGTGTTCACTGAAATCATTGTTACCAGTTATATCTCTTTTAAATAAAATTTTTGCCAATAGAGAGAAGATGATTGGTGGAAAGCTTTAAATTTAGGGTTCCTAATTTGAAAGAATGTATATGCTACTGTTTTAAATATTTCAAGAGAGAAAAAGCTGAATAAATTACAGTGCTCAATGTGAACAAACAGGAGAGTGCAAAAAGAGTTATAAATTAGTTGTGTGCCAGTCTTAAGAGAAATGGTTTCCTAACATCAAAGCCTATTTTTTATTAGCAGCGTATTGTATTCTACTGATATGTTCTTACCTTCTGTGTCTATCATGCTGATTTTCTAATAGCTATTAAAACATTATGGATGTAATTTTCTTAAGTTTGCAACATTTTCCATTGACACCATGAAAAATGCAAATATCCAGAGTTTTTAAAAAGTATGAATATATACACTTTGGATTAGTAGAGAATAAGGGCTAATTTACAGTATTCTATGTACTTCAAAGCCAAGAATTGAGAACAAATGTCTATCTAACACAGAAATACAAAGTCCATATTTTTTCTGTGGCTATAGGGCAGTTTATAGCTTTAGCTTATTTATATGTAAAGAAGCAGCAAGTTAAAGTTAAAAGGTACTGGATGAGAAATTGAGATTCTAGACCTTGTTCTTTGTTAAATGTTTCATTGAATATATCTCTTCTGTTTTCTGTTCTTTAGAATGGGGGATTGAACATATTGATCACATGAAAAATAGTCATATAGAAAATGTATGAAAATATTTTGTATGCATTGAGATGAACTATAGATAAGAAGTGCACTGTGAGTAGTCACTATTTTGTCTGTGACTGGTATGGAAATTAAATGAGATACCCATAAAGCACCTAAAATATACCTGATACATGGTAAGTATCAACTTTGGCTAGCATGAAAATGGAGATAATAACAAAGACTTGGTACTAAATACTCTGTTTCTGAAAGATTGTGTGATTAAACTGCTTTAGAATCTGCACAAAAATAAGATGATTTTTAAAGTAGCATATGTTTTATTTTCTAGGATCAAATCTAAATCGCTGTGGTTTCCGAGGCTCTTCATACCTGGGTATTCCGTTCAATCCATCAAAGGTTAGTTCTTTTTGGGTTAGTAGGAGAAGGGATATAGGAAGATTTTAGTGAGAAAGAAAACTAAGAAATTACTCAGAAGTATACTTCCCAGGTTTGTAGATTTTTTTTGGTACCAGGGTTCAAACTTGGGACCTGCTTGCAAGGCAGGCGCTGGAACCACTGAGCTAAATCCCCAGCCCTTTTCCAGGTTTCTATATGACTAAATACTATATAAACTGAAACCTCTCAAGGGAAATCTGCCTCCCTCTCTGGAAGAATTTACAGTACATACACATGCAAAAACATATGTCAATTATTATGAAAACGTATATTCTTATTACTGTGTATATGCAAAAATTATTGGTGATTTCCTGGAGAAAATAGAAATAAAGTACTGTGATGCTTGCTTTCCAAGAAACCAGAAAACTTCCATGCATTACAGGACTTTACATTCAGTTCTCAAGACTTAGGAATAAAAAAAAATACTCTTCTCAAGGCAGTGGTTGCAGATCCAGATAGTGATTAATTTTATGACATTTATGGCAACAGGGAGAACTTCCTCAGCATTGTAGCCAAAGGCTTTGGAATCAGCCCATGCCAGTATAAAAAGCAGTGAGTCCTAACAAGTTGAAGGGCTTTATTCTTCTTCAAAGAAACAGACCTAGAACTTTGGGTATTCCATTTGTGTTCAAAATCACCGGTATTTTTCTACAGTAGAAAGTGGAGAAAAACTTCATCTTTTTTATTTAAAGAATCTCCACAGAACAGAAACTTACTCCTTGATGGGGTCATTCTCTTAGTATAATGATCTTAAGCCAGTGTCTGATTCCACTGAATATATCAAGATTTATATCTATTTAAAGCTGAAGTGCTGCCAGTTTTTCTGTATTTTACTTTAATATTTTGGAATAAATAGTGATTTTGGATATAGGAGCTGCTTCAGTTTCTTCTTTGCCTGAAGCTGTAGACCAGCTTACCTATGTTAGAATCATATGCTTTTACCAAGATGTCTCCATAGTCGTGCCCTTTGTGCTTAGCAGGGATTGTAAAAACAAAGGACTCATTAAATGCTTCTTTTTTTCATACATACATTTTCTAACTTAGGCCAGTACTGAAGAAGGTGTTTTTTTTGGTTAGTCATAATGAACAAGATATCTTGGTGTCATGCTGTTGTTAATGATGACCATTGTATAGTACTACACCTATGCAAATGTATACCAATACTTGGAGTAATAACATTACCTTTAAAGAATAATCTCTACCACCAAGACATTTTATTTTTTCCATTGGATTTTTTTATGTTTCTCTTTTTTTTATAGTACAGTGGGTACTAGGAATTGAACTCAGGACCTTCATACTGAGCTATATCTCCAGCCCTTTGTTTATTTGTTTGTTCAGAGACAGGGTCTCACTAATTCACTAAATTCCGCAGTCTGGGCTTGACCTTGATTCCTCCTGCCTCAGCCTTCCAGAGTACACACCTGACTGTTTGTTTTTTGAGGTGAGTGTCTCTCTGTTTGCCCAAGCTGGCCCCAAACTCCAGGACTCAAGTGAGTCCACCTGAGTCCCTGGGACTAGCGGTGCACTGCACTACACCCAGCGCTCAAGACATTTTTTAAAAAGTAATTAAAGTTGAAGAAAGAATTTTTGCCCTTGGCTCACAGATTCTCATGAAACCCATTTTTGCCCCTTGAATCATCTGGACCCTGTCATCATCTGCGAAGCTGGGTTACACTCCATGCTGTGTGTTCATCTGAATTCTCAGTGGGAGGAGGAGCTAGCGACTCCAGGTGGAATCAAATAGGTCAAAAAGGAGTTGTCACTTAGTGTGGTAGTGTAGAGTCCAGGAGACAGACTGCATACATCAATACAGTAGCTTCATTGCTTTTCCTCAGAAAGCACCACACTGCCTGTTGACCATCGACTTACCTGATCAGTGCCCAGTACTGTTAGGGGCAATAGAGCACTTTTGGAGAAAGGCTAACAGGTCTTCCAGTCCACTTTCTTACTGATTTTCTTCATAAATCCTATATTCTCTGTTAAATTCTTTATGGTCTTTTAATATGTACTCTAGAATTTTCCTTCTGTGCTTTGCTTTTATATTTTACCTATAATGCCTTCTCCATGTGTACCCGTTCAGGCTCCTCTTCTGCTGCAAAGAAGAATCTCTATAATCCCTACGCATTATCATATCTCCTCCCTGGCCATTTACAGTAGTCTCCTTTGTATTGTAATGGTTTGATTAGACCTCTCTTTTGCCCTTAAGGTTAAATTCTACATTTAATTCATGTTTGGGTTCCCTACAGGTTTGTTTTTTTTTATGTATATAGCAGTTGTTTCATTTAAGTACCAAAAAATGAAATACGTTAAGGAGTTCTAAGAAGTCTATTATAAATGTGGGATAGAATACCCAAGAGAATTAAAACTTGAGTTCTCAAGGAGGGACTTAGCATGAAAGATGTCTTGATGAAAATTTATTTGGTAAATATGTGAGACCATTTATAGAAATATATCATTATTAAATAACTAACATCTTTTCAGATAGTTCCTCGTTTAATCCTCACAATAATCCTATGAGATAGTTACTACTATCTCCCTTTTCCAGGGTGAGAAAAATGGAGCAAGCAAGCAAGTAAGTAGTAGAGCCAGAATTTAATGCCTCTCAGTGATTGTAGAAGTTAACATTTACTTATAGGAGATAAAGGAATCTATTTTAACATAACTTTGATATGAGTTTTAACTGTCTAGTATTTTGAGTAGTTATTTTAGTGTTTGAGTCAGTTATTGGTAAACTCAAAAAAGAGAAGCTTATGGGTACATGAATTAAGTATATAGTATATGCTTACTCCATCAAAATAAAACTGTCTTAAATTGAGAAACCAATTGTGTAGCATGACATTCTACATTTTTCAAATGAGATCTTTTTAAAATAAGCAATAAATCAGCTGATTATTTGAAATCAATTAGAAAACTATATGGTTTTATATATTGTGGAGTAATATTATTTAGCATAATAAACCATTGTTAGTTTGAAATTTTGTCTGTGGCAGTGCCAACTTCCATGGTCTTTAGATTACTTAAAGGAGTACATATTTTATAAAGTTTCAGATATCTTTGCTAACTAATTTTAGTTATCTTTTATTGAAACAATTAGTACAAGTCAATTTAATCAAATTAATTATTGTGGTAATATGAGTTTCTTAGTCTGACGTCCCAGCTCTGTGATTGCCAGTCTTGTAGTTAGTTCCTCTGCAAGAACATAGGCTTCACAAAATGTTCTTTGAAATCAATAACCCATTTGAGCTCTAAATAGCAAAAGTTACATTATTTTATTTCTAGATAATTTTTTAGTTTCAGTATTTTGAGCTCTTTGCATTTCATGTTTTTTTGCTATTCTAACTGCTAGTGTGTATTAGAGACTCAAATAATTCCAGCTTTATATGAGAACAGAACAATAAGGTTTTCCAGTGTAGTTTTAATATGGTAATTACTAATATGGCATTTAAATTTGTACTGTATAAAAGAATTATTTCTTGTATGTCATTTTTGTTCTAAAGACTATATGCTTTTTCTAACTTTATAAGACTTAAAGTGGTAGATTTGATTAATTATGAAGTTCAAATAATTCGGCTTAGTCAAATATAACGATTCCCATAAACTTTGAGGTCTCTAAGCTGAATTTTAAAATTATTTAACCTGGTGGTGGCACATGTCAGGTTACTGAGGGAGGAAGATTTCAAGTTTGAGACTAGCCTGGACAACAAGACCCTGTCTCAAAAAAAAAATTATATAGCCTGGAATTTGTGTAGTCATAGTTACATGCTATTGAGACATATATAAAAATGGGTTTATTTCTCTCCATTGGATGTGTATAAAATTCAGTGTAAGCAACATTTAAGTTTCCTGTTTATTAAAATCTCATATCATGGGCCAGGGATTTAGCTCAGTGGCACTGTGCCTGCCTCACAAATGCAAGGTCCTGAGTTTGATGCCCTGTACAAAAAAAAATCTCAAATCAAATTAGTTAATGAAATTAATTTTTATTTTCATTCATTAACATAATATTCATTTTTAAATTTAGAATCCTGGAACAGCTCATCCATACGATAGTGGTCACATAGCAATGACCTACACTGGCCTTTCTTGTTTAGTTATTCTTGGAGATGACCTAAGCCGAGTAAATAAAGAAGCTTGTTTAGCGGGTTTGAGAGCCCTTCAGCTGGAAGATGGAAGGTATGAGTCATTCATTGTTACTTTTTTAAGAATAAGAATATTTTGGAGCTAAAAAACGATATAGTACTACAATAGAACTTTCTTTTAAAAATTGTATACTCTTTATTAGAACCACTGAAAGTTTATTGTATACAGAGTTAAGTGCTTAGTCAAAAAAGTGTTCAGGATTTTTTGTGTGAGGGAAAGTAAACGTTTTACAGTAGATGAACTCCTTTTTATTGTTAATTTACCTTCTAGAAGGAAAAAAAAGGCTATTTTGAAGTTAGGGTATAGTTAATCTAAACTTTTGTTCCTTGGAAATACTAATGAGGAGAAGGGGATAAACTTTGAATGTCATGTTTTTTAATTGTAGATAGTTTGAGTAACATTTTCAAGAGATAGAAAAAAGTCAATATGCTAATATTAGATGGTTTTGTGGCATGTCTAAGGAATCTTCCAATAGTTTTAAGTTAAAAATGATTCGTGTGAGGCTTAGGTAGAAAGATCACTGAATTTGAGGCCAGTCTATATACATAGTAAGTTTTAGGCCAGCCTAGTGAGATCCTGTCTCAAAAAAATAATAATATTAATTTTTAAATTTGGATGTGGAGGTGCATGCCTATAATCCCAGAACTCTGGGAGGCTAAAGCAGAAGGTTCATTTATTTATTTATTTATTTTGGCACCAGCGATTGAACTCAGAATCTTGCGCTTGCGAGGCAGGCACGGTGCCACTGAGCTAAATCCCCAGCCCGAGGTGGATCATAAATTTGAGCCCAGCCTAAGCAACTTCGGGTGACCCTGTCTCAAAATAAAAAATAGAAAACTATGAATATAGCTCAGTCCAGAGGCCCTGGTTCAGTCCTCATGACTGCAAATAATAACAACTTATTATTATTTTTTTTTAATTTACAAAGTGATAAAGTAGTAGTGATTGCTGAAGAAAGGACCAAAAACAAACTCTACTCTGTTGTTACATCTTTGTGCTCCATCTGAATCTCTCTTTTCTTGTCAGTGTTTTCAAAACACTGCTCTTGATGAGGGAGAAATAAGTGTGGACACAGAATAAGCTGACATTTGGAAATACCATTAAACTATTTACCTCAACTGGAACATGTGACTTGGTGTCACGATTGTTCTTGATTACTACCACCTCATCTTTGTTTGCAGATAATAAATAGATATGGAACACAGATTATTACCTCTTGAAAACTAAGTATCTAACAAAACAATATGGCTGATCAGTTAATTGTTAATGGCAAATACATTTAAAAGAAATTCCACACAGAAAGACATGGACAGAAATTTCTTATTACTCGGTAGATCCCACGTTTTACCTGCTACTTTTCCTGCCATTAACTCTCAAGCCAATATTTTACAACTTCCCATCTTAGGAGTAAATAAACTTACCCTGAGGGCAACATCTAGGAAGAAGTATCATGGTTGTCAGAATACTACCCAAGAATCAGAACTTTGAAACAGAGTGATGACTGAGAGATTGTTTTATATTATTCAAGTTAATAATGCTATTATGTAGTACAATTAGAATATGTTTTTAATCAGTGGGGGGGGGTTGTAAATAAAAACGTGAAGTAGCTGTTTTTCTAACCTCTTTGCAGTCCAGTGTTAATAGAAAATCATATTATTGTAACTATTTTTAGTTTTTGTGCAGTACCTGAAGGCAGTGAAAATGACATGCGATTTGTGTACTGTGCTTCCTGTATTTGCTATATGCTCAACAACTGGTCAGGCATGGATATGAAAAAAGCTATCAGCTATATTAGAAGAAGCATGGTGAGTTATGTTGATAAAATTGAGTTATTATTTCTGGTGCAATATAATATATGCCTCATCTCTTCCACCAACAATTTGGAAATAAGGGCAGTAAGATTGCTTTCTTAGTACAGTATATCATGTATCAGAATGCCATATAGAAATAATGACTGTTTTTGGTCTAGAAATAATCTTAAAGAGTAGGTTGACTCATTGACCATAAATTTAATACTTTCATATGATTTTTTTTTTAAATCTGTGGTTTAAGGACAATATTAGAAATATTATTCTTTCACACAGTTTCATCTTTTTTATTGGCAGTAGTAAGGAAAGCTTAGTCTTTGCTGGAATTATTTTCCTCTGTTTCACCTCATATATAAAATTGGAGAAATAGAAGTGCTGCTTTCCAGGTTTATTACTTTACAAATATGAAGCTTTTAATTTTCTAAATTAGAATATGTAAAACTATAATTCAACCAGCAGTCAGAATTTAGTATCTTAAAATGAAAGTGTATGTTCTTAGAGGAATGAAGTTGTTTGGCTTTTTTTTGTTGCTGTTTTTTGGTTTTTGTGTTTTTTTGTACCGGGGATTGAACTCAGGATCTTGTGCTTGGGAGGCAGGTGGCGGAACCACTGAGCTAAATCCCAGGCCTGGAGTTGGTTTTAACGGAGTATGTAACTGGATCAGATTTTGTAGAATATGCAGTAGCACATATTTTTAAATGCTTGTGGATGCAGAAAGAAGAGACTCTTAAAGGAATATTAAGAAGAAATAAGATTTTTGCCAGATAGGAGAGTGATACCCCTTTTTGCCATGAATAGTACAGAAGTAATACTGTTTTCTCACGGCATTATATCTGAAGATGCACTATGTGATTTGCCCTATTTTTACTCATTTGGTTAAGGTAGTGTATACCAGTTTTCTCTGTGAAATTGGTGGGATTTTCCTGTAATTATTTTGTATCTCATTGTGACTTATCTGGAAACTATAAATATCCTCTCATCATACATTTACCGATTAGTGGTGTTGGTATACACTGATGACTTTCCAGCCCTAGCATCCATCCTATAACTGTCAATTGAAATTCTCCTGCTAGAAAAAGCTTTCTCCTTCATTTCTTTCTTTCTTTCTTTGTTTTTATCATTGTGGACTGTAGATTCTTAATGGATTATAATGTTACTGTCATTACATATTTTGATGTTTACATTGTCTCAAATTGGCCAATGAGAACTTTTTCAAGCAGGTCCAGTACCCTTTTGATTTGTTCACTTCATTGTTTAAGGACCTTCTTGCTTTCTGGCACAAGTATTTCAGGTTCATCTTTTACTTTTCCAGTCTTAGTTCTGAAATCAGTCATTTCTTCAAGAAGCTCTGATTTTCCTTGTTTAGAAATCAGAGTCTTGGTACTAAGTGTGCTTATTGCTATTGAGGTATCATTGATTCCAGGCCCTCTCTCAGCAGGCAGCATTAGGAAATGTATTGTGTATTTATGTATACAAATAGATATCCCCTTACAAAAATGTGCACACAATCTGTATTTCTGTATCTTTTTATCAGTCCATTTATTAAAAACCCTGAGTCCATATAGATACCTTAGATTTCAGTTTAACACCACAGGTTCATTTATTTTTTTTCTTTTTAATATGGTTGTATATTATTTTTTTGTAATACAGTTTATGGGTTCCTGTTTGGATTCTATTTTAACTATTCCCTTCATTTAGACCCCCAATTATTGTATGTATACTGTAATTTTCAGTTACAAATTGTGCTATAATTAATAACCTTCTGCATATTTTTTGTTGTTGTTGTACCAGATATCAAACTCAGGACCTTGCACTTGCGAGGCAAGCAGTGGCACCACCACTGAGCTAAATCCCCGGCCCTGTATTAATGTATTTTTAAAGATACATCTGTAGGTTAAATTCCTGGTAGTGGAATTGCTTAATCAAAGGCTATGAATATGTAATTTTTTTTTTTTTTTTGG